AAATATAATATATACCTGTCAAGGTCACTGGCCTGTAGCAGGTCATAGTCAGCAAAGGCAATCCTTCGGGAATTTTTCAGCTGATGCCACAAAGGAGTGCTAAAATTTACGCAACCAGTTAGCAATCATCAAAATCACTGCACATAGCTTGGAATTATCGCGTCTCACGAAATTTAAGGCTGGTCAGAACGGTTTCCTCATGTGAACTAGCATCTTCGAAAAACGGGCACCATTTCAATGGTACTGAACGGCCGAGGTTAGCATGTACAACCCCAATATCAACACGACACGTCATCTGGTTATGTAGTTGACCTAACACGCAGAACAGTGCAAATGCTGCGCGAAAATGTGACAATTTTGACTCATTGACAGCAAGCGTGGTAATTACGGCATAGTTGTGTTTGTGACACGCGGTGTTTGACATGCGCAGTGTATGCCTGAACGGTTTGTTGTCAGGTAGGTTTCGACGTCGATTTGTCGCTCAGGTGCGTCGCTACATGCGAATCAGTGTCGAACTTGGCCTGACTCTCACTTGAACTTGAACTGCTGCTGCTCTACAGAGAAATAGAATGCAAAACACTAATCTTCATCCCTCCTTTGACCTGGAATGGTCCAGGAGGTGGGAATGGGCCTTGTGCTCACCCCACCCCCTCCTTCCAATACTCCGTTAAGCCCCAGGAAGTACTGGCACAGCTGGATGGAGTAGGTTATCCTGGTTATCTTTTTCCAGCTAGGATCAGCCGCCAGAAACAAACGCCTAATGAAAAAAACCAGCAAAATCTCAATGGAGCAAAGGTGCAACTTGCATTTTTAATGGAAGAGCAAGTGTGGCAAAAACTATATGCTGCACGTTAAGCGTTCGTAGGGTTGTTGATGGCGGCAGCATTGGAAATGCATAACGAAGTGATATCTTAAATCATCTATGGGTTTCCAATACATTAATGCGTCCTCGCCATGCCATCCAAAACATGTAAATCCTGTTTGCTGGAATATTCAGTCATTAAACCTCGTAAAATTGCAAGTCATTTTACGTACATGTTTCCTCCATGTTGCCTCCTGACACACGTAATGAGCTTTGGATTTCCAATTACACAATGTCCCATGCGGCATGTACACATGATTGATATCCAATAACGAGTCATTTGCCGCTAAAAATTGGGAACATCCTCTTAAATGTCGACACCCTTTTCACTAATTTGAAAATGAAGTGGCGGATATCTGCGGAGAAAAAATGCCCCCTTCAGGACTTTACCGGTTTGGTCCCCATCCACCCATGGGAAGAGTTTTCTATCCACCACACATAAAAATATGGCAAAGCTATTGTGCTCCTCCGTCTGGTCATTCTCTCTCTCTCTCTATCTTGCTATAGATAGAGGGAGAGAGAGAAGAGAGAGAGAGAGCGGAGAGAGAGAGCTATGAGATAGGAGAGAGAGAGAGAGAGCGAGAGAGAGGAGCTATGCGAGAGAGCTATTTAGCTCTATCTCTCTCTCTTCTCTCTATCTCTTCTCTCTCTCTCTCTCTCTCTCTCTCTCTATCTATCTCTCTCTCTCTCTCTCTCTCCTCTCTCTCTATCTCTCTCTCTCTTCGTCTCTCTCTTCGTCTCTCTCTTCGTCTCTTTCTTCGTCTCTTTCTTCGTCTCTCTCTTCCTCCCTCCTTTCTCTTTCTCTTCCTCTTCCTCTCTCACTCTCTCTCTCTCATTTCTCACTTCCGCCCTCGATGTCGCTCTCGCTCTCTTGCTCTCTCGCTCATACGCACACACACCCACACCCCTATGCCCTCTGTCTTTATCAGGCCTCCCAAGTGTCGATCCATATCCTCCATTGACCCCCCGTCCAGCAGTCAGTGGTCGGGTCCAGCGATCCACTCTCGCTTTCTGCGCTCTGTCTTTGTCGCCCTCCACGTCCGAGCCACGTCCAGCCAGCAGTCCTGCCGGAATGATCCATTCCATCCGCCCAGCCGCGATAATCTAAATGACCTTTCTGTTGAACAAGCTTTAAATCTTCGTCTTTAAATCTGAACTGCTCTCTCCCTTATCCGAATTATCCCAGAGGCTGGAACTTTCACCAAACGAGTGTCCATTTTGCTTATTACATTTGGTTTTTGCCGCGGGGACGTGGCAGTAAATTTCTCGGGCGTTTTCGGATTAAACTCATTTCATTGTATCCATTACCGAGATTGAGTGGGGCGACTTACAGCGATAAACCAGGCCAAACGTCGCCCCGTAAATATGACACTCGCAAATGATAAAGAAGGAAGCCAGTCCAGCGTCCGCTCCCTCGAAATGTTCGTCTACCGCTGCGACATGCTCCAGACGGCGGCCTGCGCTCCGTCAGCGGCGACGGTCCGGCTACGGGGTCCGGGAGTCCTGCCGGAAACTCCGCGAGCGCCCCCGACAGCGAAGCGCCGCCTGGGGAGGCTGGACGCGGCGGAGCCCACAGGCTTACCTCAATGCCGAGTGCGCTGGCGAGCGATGCCGTGAATGCACATTGCGTCCAATGTGAATAGAAGACAGGAATTCACTTCGAGAATGACGCTTGACTGAACTAGGGGCCAAGTTGAGCTACAGATTCTCGTAGTGAAATGCTGGATGATGCGCGGATTCTTGATGAACCACTGGATACTTGTGTGGACGAGCGACTGCATACGGGATGGGTAGTTGATTGGTATATTTCCAGGCTATGGAATGTCCTGTAAAAATTTGTTCCTTTGATGCCCCTGAAATGCTTAGTCGCCACTCACCTCACTGAAAATTTGGTGTATTCTTTCTATGTTGCGGCTTTGGAGAGCAATGCGTAGTCATTGTTTCAATGCCTCAGTTCTCCAGGCGTTCACGCTGACAAGGATCATTAGGACTGTTATTGGGTTCGCGCGAAGTTGAATGCACCTCTGCGCACAGGACGCAGCCTCAGCCTCGGACTAATTAACTCCTAGTAGAGCACGCTACCATCATTATTCAGCACCTGATCAACTTTGACAAGCGGGCTGTATAGTTCCGCATGTTGTCATTGAGACCGCCTGCACAGGTCCAACTTCATTCACGGGCTCCCTCTCCCTCCCCGGCCCCGCCGCTCGAACGACACTCTCCTACACCCTCCTGTTCGGGATCGCGTCGCGTTGCGTGCCGTCGACGACGATGCCGCCGCTCGTAGTCGAATGGAAGGGAAGAGTCGAGCGTTTTTGTCCCTCAGCGACACGGCAGCTGCATAACGAATGGCCCATCGCCATTGTCAGCGAGTAATGTCATTTCCGCAAGCAGTTAGTAATCATCAACATCACTGGACATAACGTTAAATGATCGCGTCTCACGAAGTTAAAGGCGGGCAAGAATTAGTTCCGAATATGAGCTAGGCATCCCGGGAAAATGGGCGCCATTTCAACGTTACTGCAGTTAGTGTTCGGACGGGCTGAGTTGATTACATGTAAGCACGTAATAACTACATCTTCATCGGTTGGAACGTCGCCAATTCAAACCTTTACGGTCCCCCGGGCTCTACTTGGGGACCTGCATGCAGCCATTCAGTCCTGTCATTTGTGGCCCATTAGCGCACTGGGCAGTTTGAGAAGGTTCAGAATGTGACATACCTGTCATGGGCATGGGTCAAATTGATCAGGCGTTCTTGAATGGGCTGTGCCTACAAAACATGTTTTCACACTGAACTTTTCAAAAACAAACACATAATTCTGACCGTATCTTAGCGTTTCGACTCTGACAAAACCCCAAAACTAAATCATGCCTCTTTGCGCTTTGTGTTCTGCCGCAGCGCCGAAGACTGGCATGACTACGGCACCACTGCGACGCATACGTCTACCGCAGTACCCAGTCTATGGTCAAAGCTTTCAGGGATTACTGCAGCAAAAAGGGAAAGCACCTGCCAAAAACAAGGTACTAAATGAATTAGGAATGTATGCCGCAACCTTTCACCTATTTAATCCAACGCGAGCATTGAAGTGGAATGATCACTCAACGCCAAGAGTGCAGATAGCGTATCTTAAGACTGCTCTGCCTCAGTCGGCTTTGGGTGCGGTGCATGGGTCTGCGCTGGCTATTAAATGTGATTCTGATGGTAGATACTTTTTTGGCAGTCGCAATTCTTTTTCCCCGCGTCAATCCCTTCGCAGCAAAAGTCTCGAGTCGGCCCCGGATGCCGGTGGTCGCAATCAAATATTGATCTTTATTGTGAGCATTCCAATCAGGCGCCAGCCTACATTCGCTGCGTAATTTCGTCGGCTTGCATTTTTTATGTCACGCGGCATGCATAGCGCCCGCCACCCGGGCGTTTACATGACTAATTGGAAGAATTAGTGGTGCTCGCGTCGATTCGTTTCAGCTTCGGCTGCTATCGTCCAGCGTTGTCCGCCTCGGGGCGGTGACGCGACGGTCCGTTGAGGTTACATTGCTGCGCGTGGTCCTGCTGGTACAGCTCACTTTGCTCTGGGCCCACTGGAGATCAGTGGTGCGCACCCTGCTGTGCTGCTAAACAGTGTCGACTTTGACGAGATGGATTATGCAGAACGTTTTCCGTATGCCGTTTCTCAAGACTGGAGCCAAATTGTGGCCGGCAACAAAACGTCTTAAACCTTAGCAAATATTGAACGACTGAAATATAATCTCTATTCCCGTCTTTTTTTCAAAAAGGCCGTCTTTAAGCGTGTATAATGGGCCGACGCGAGCAGGCCGTGCTACTGCTACCCCGGGGCTGACTGGAGGTCACATGCTTAACCGTTGTCACAGAGGGTTGTGCTGGCTTTGCGCGATAGTGAAGGAGACAGCGGGGTAACCTCTCGTTCCTGTACAATAGCATAACCGCCGTGCTGTTGACCGTAGAGGGCGGAGGGGAGCGGCGGGAAGCGGTACTACTGGTTTAGTGGGGGGCGGGGGGGGGGGGGGGCATGGGTCTGGCCGGGCTAAGGCACTCCGATACGGTGTGCGGCTTCCGGTGTCCATGTTGACTACAGTGTCCGTCTCCAGGACACATCGGTATTATTCTCTCCTTTTCCAGGCGTCTCGCTTCGGCGAACATTGCTCAACACCGACTGGCTCCAGGACATGACCAATCAACAAGGTACTGTACCGTAATGGACACCTCCACTTCGGAGAGGTTGTTTATTTGTGTTTGAATTTGTTTGTTGACGGGGTTCTCCACTTCCGCCTCCGGGGGGGGGGGGGGGGCATATGCCGCATGAGCCTAATTCGTATACAGACGTATGGAGCGGTGAGTAAATGCACGTTTAAGCGGCTCTCTCATTGCTGAATGTCGTGGTACTGGATCCGCTGCCTGCCGCTAGGCTGCAAAACTGCATGGAGCACTTGCACCAGTTCACCAGGAATAGCAACACCGTGGCTTGCCGTGATCAGCGCGCTGAGAGGGGTGCATTCATATTGTTGCGTGGCGTAATGTGAATGTCTCCTCGCAGATTTTTGAGAGGACGCTCACAATGGTGTGGTGTTTTTGAATAGGTGTCTCCGAAAACAGCAACTCTGGTGCTTCGTTCCATCCAGTTTTCCAAAAATACATTTGAATCTGAATCGTCATAAATGTATGCATCGGAAAAATTGGAAGGTGCAATCTTACCCGGAATGAACTTCATGGGTAGTCGGGGTTAACTGGTAGGGGAAATTCCGTGCATGACACCTAAGCTCTTCTTTCATCCGGTGAACAAATAACAAAGAGGTAGATTTACTGTGTGATTGAGATTGAATTTGTGTAAACTGTGAAGGAACCACCGTCATACCGCCGATACCGGCGGGGTGTGAACTACCTTTTGACATGTGCATGCATGCTGGCCCTCTCCCTGATGGGGGGGGGGAGGGGGCAGGTCAAGGCGACCCCTTAAGGTTTTGTGTTGTTTTGATGTGCTACGACAAGATCTGAGTTTGCGTCGTCACGAAGCATGGTCTCGTAAGGATGTTGCAAATGCAAAACGTATAACTTTCCAGAAAATTTGGCCTTTGATCTGAATACCAATTGTACTATGTCGTTGAGATCAACCCATTAGTGTTTTCCGCTAATCTCTATCTGGTCGCATCGACCCCCATCAGCCCTCGCAAGGAGAAACGGCGGATCACGGCGAGGGTTAGACATTCAGTCGGTGGAACATGGAGAAAGAAAGGCAAACACCAATTTATAACGTCGTTTGATTAATGAACCTAAGCGACCTGTGTAGTCACCGATGTAGGTATGGGCGTAGGAACAGGGGGGCCAGGGGGCAATGACCCCCCACTTTTCAAGGTGGGGGGCCAATAATGTGAACTGCCCCCCCCTCCCCCCCACACTTTTCAGATTAAGGCTGCATCCGGCTTACTTTTGCGCTGCATTAAACATACATGCCTATTACATGTTCACCAGCCATCTCTCTTAAGATGCGTCATCTTTTTCGTTTGCTCATTGACTATTGCTTAGTGTTACAGCCACAAGGCCCACACAGCACGGCCTGGAGACTGCAACGCCGGACGTCGGGGCTGTTATTGCTATGACTTGCGAGCATGCATGTTAAACACCATATTTCGTAGCTTTCTTATGAGTAATGAGCTCTGACAGGATCTTGAGCATTTTAAGACGAACATGGGTTAGCCATGTTAGCACAAGGAACCCCATTTCATCTACAATCTACAGTCAGAGAGAACTCAATCTCTAAAGAACACAGAAAAACACGGAACTGGAGTCTATGTGGCAATTATTGTAATACCTGCGGTGATAAGGGATGTTGTTGCGTCAATGAGGGTTCCGGTGCTGATCCGGGGCTAACTGCGCGGGTCAGAAGGCCTCCCGTGTCACGGATGGGAACAATGTGATATGATATACCCGATTAATGCCCTCCGGATCGACCAGGAGATCCCGCCCCGTGCCACCAGAATGATAGCCAGAAGACACTTCGCGATGGGACGGAATGGCCCTTCGGCCCTTGACCGGGAACGGTAATGTACCCCTGGTGTTCTACTCAAGAGGCCCCTTGCCCGGAAGGAAATAAGGGGTCTCATTATTGTTGAGTAGAGTGGGGGTCTCCTTACTCTGGAATAGGGTGGGTCGAAATGAATATAAAAAATCAGCATGTTCATGCCATGTTTGCCTGAGAATGCTTATTTTTCAGAATGGATTAGTAAAACAAAATACATCAAAAGGTTTGAACATGCCCGCCCAAAACCTCGAGAGCAAGGACAAGGATGGCATGGGCTACAGCTTCCGTAAAACCGAACCGCTTCAGTCACTGCCAGTGCCACCAGACGGCGGACGCCGTGTTGATCTGTCTTCTGGATAGATAAATAGCTGCGAAAACACGAAAAATAGAGATTTCACCGTAACTCTTTCCGTTCGACTGTAGCGGCACGAGGTCAACACCTAGCCGTGTGGGTCACCAATAGGTGGCGCTAACGAGTGTTTTTGTGTGTGTGTGTGTGACATTGTGCGTCGTGTGATAACTGTGTGTCTCCATAGATTCCAGTCCCACTTTGCAGTGCTTTAAGGGCCAATCCGTTCTTTCCATCAGTCTAAAAATTGCAGACGTGAAATATGCGCTCAGACTGCCTTCGAAATGTAAGATCTGATGTCATGAAGCGTCCAAGGATACTTTTTCAGAAGCATAGTCCTTTTCATCCACCTGTTGACCGCAACTTAATATCAGCTGGTAGGCCGACGCCGCGCGGCCTACGGAGACTGCAACGCCTGGGGTCGAGGCTTGTGCTTCTAAAATTTTTGAGTGCGCATGCTCAAAATTACGTGCCCAACACGTGTTTCATACACCATGTAGCAGTAACGCTGATCCAAAAGTATGCAACAAAGCAGCCATACGGTCAGTTCGCAGTCAGTCATGCGGGAAACATCCGAGCCTGGGCGGAAGCCACCGACGGCGGACAGGAGCAGGGTCTAGATAAGAAACATATGACTGATGGGCGTTATTATGTGGGCGTTATTACTGATGGGCGTTATTATGATTCTTATAAGTGAATCTCCAGTTTTATGGGTTTTGTCACATTGTTTCTAGCAGTTTCAAGCCCCCAAACTTGTTTCCGCCTAAAATGCTGCGACAAGTCTTATTCTCGTGAAAAGCAGCCAGAGAAATGAAGGCGCATGAAAAATATGTCGCACTGTGAGCCATCGATCCAATTTCCAAATTCTCACCAGCCTATGTCCAGACCGTATTTTGGCATCTACACTGTGGAGACAGATGCTTCCTTAACGACCCAAAATGCCCACCCGCTCATGGAATTTCGCCTCTCCAGGAAAGACAATGTTAAAATGGAAGAAAAATCTGGGGAAGCTGGATAGCCTTATTTGCCAAATGACAGATGAGTCGAATAGGCAAGATTGTGCACCAGTGATAAACAGCTCCAGATGCATATTTAGCATAGCATGCATGCATGCATATATAGCAGCCATAACATTTGAATAAAGAGCGATAACAACCTCCATCCCTACCCACACCCCCCCCCCCCCCGCCGGTCATCGGGTTCACTTTCCAGAAAAAGTTCCTGAAGTACACCCTGAGCTTGCCCCCACACTTTCTGAAACGTTCCTGCGCCTGTGGATATAGGGTAAAGTATGACATACCTAGTTGACGGTTTGTATGCCGATGACGGATGCAGGAATGCCACGTGAATAGTCATTAAATTGTTGCGCTAGGTCCTCCCAACCAAGTATTGTCAGTGATCCCTCCGATGCAGCCTACAGACGTCGCAAAAGAGTGCTGAAACGGTGGACGTGTCACCACAGCACGCGAACCAAAACACACCTGGCATCAGAATATTGCCCCTTCCCCCCCCCCCCCCCCCTACATACACGCAAGTTGCCCGACGACATGTTCGTTACGTTTCTCAGTTCATTTCAGCCTTATACGCCTCTGAAAAAGAAACCATAATTACATTTCTCGGCGGTTCAGTTCGAAACACATACTCGTTACAGTTCCCCCTCCCCCCCCCACATCAATAGTCTATCATTTCCTGTGCACAGGGAGTTTTGTTGATGGTGCATAAGAATGTGATACTTTCATATAACACAAATTACAATGTTCTTATAACCCCTGCTAGAAATATGACATTGCTCCTTTTAAAGGTTCCCAATGACGTCCATTTTGGTAGGTTTAGATAAATTTATGTCTTTTATGATTTCGGTGTTTATGGCACGCATCATTTCATTCCTGCTGAATGAATTTAAATACGCGAAGTTGATTATAAAAATCAGGCCAATGATGAAGTGTCGCATCATTAAACACATTGAATGATGACAGAAATATCTGACGAAAACCCTGTTGTAATCAACGCCATATCGTGTGTTTGTTAGCAGACCCAGACACCAATGACTTGGTGTAAATGCCGCACACATACCAATTATGATTATTTATCCTCTAAACAAAACGTCCAGAGCCATTCCGTATCAAGTCAGTAACGTGTTTCGCGACAAAACCTAAACTTATGAACTCCTTGGTTGCCTAACCCCTCCCCTGCTCACCATCTAACACCCGGATCAGAGGCTGTATAACTAAGCAGAAGCACAGTGAAACCCCGTGTGACACATGAGTGGTCACCAGAGGCCCTTCGGCGGCCGAGATGGAGCAGTTCTCTGTGGGGCCCAGCCGAGCGTGGCGCCGCCCGGCCCGTCCCGCTCCCCCCTCGGTCGGTGGCGGTGGCGGCGGCCGGGCGCGTGTGTCAGTGCGCCCGAGCGTGCACCATTGTTCGCGCGATCCGTCAGGCGGCGGCGGGCGGCCGCGAGCGGCGCCGCGGCCGCCCGCCACCGCTTATCGCCTGCCGCGCTCCATCTCACACACCGGTCCATCACATTCAATATTCATCGCGGGCGGTGACGTCACTGGTCTGGGGCGGCGCCCGGACCAGCCGCCCGTAACGGCGCGCGTCGAATTCTTCCCCGGACGGCCGCGGAAAGGAGTCCTGCGAGAGAACAGCGCTCCCTCGGTTCATTGGCTTGCTGTGTCCTGTGATAAGCTTACGACAGTTGGTTTGTAACCCATTTTTCGCACGAGGGCTGTTTGTAGGTAGAGATTTTTGACAGGCTTCCATGGTTATTTAATTCGATTCGTTTAAGTCAACCTAGTATGGAAGCATTCCAAAAAGTTGCTCGGTATATGATTCCAGTCATTTGGCATGGTGCGAAAGTAAAATACGACACAACGCGAAAAAAACACTGCTGAAACAAGTAGTAAAACAGTCTCGTGAAAACAAAACACCGTTCGGACTTGCACTACTCAGCACGCCGAGCTTGCTGATTAATTCATACATTGTCCGAGAATTGGCGATGACCGGCGGCAGGCAATCCCAGCACCATGTGACGCGAAAAGAACACGCGTAGCTCGAGATTGACAGGCGATAGGCTGGCAGCTTCAGCAGGCCCGACGGCGTCGCCCTGGTTGATGGGCGGTGACGTAGCAGCACGCGTCACGAACAACAAACGAGTGGCGGATGACCCCAGGAACACGCGGATCCTCAGCACGCAGCAGCTCCCCTGGACACGAGTGGCGGACGGCCTCAGGAACACGCGGATCCTCAGCACGCAGCAGCTCCCCTGGACACGAATGGCGGACGGCCTCAGGAACACGCGGATCCTCAGCACGCAGCAGCTCCCCTGGACACGAATGGCGGACGGCCTCAGGAACACACGGATCCTCAGCACGCAGCAGCTCCCCTGGACACGAATGGCGGACGGCCTCAGGAACACGCGGATCCTCAGCACGCAGCAGCTCCCCTGGACACGAATGGCGGACGGCCTCAGGAACACGCGGATCCTCAGCACGCAGCAGCTCCCCTGGACACGAATGGCGGACGGCCTCAGGAACACGCGGATCCTCAGCACGCAGCAGCTCCCCTGGACACGAATGGCGGACGGCCTCAGGAACACGCGGATCCTCAGCACGCAGCAGCTCCCCTAGACACGAATGGCGGACGGCCTCAGGAACACGCGGATCCTCAGCACTCGGCAGCTCCCCTGGACTGAGAGGCAGTACAGGATAGGTGGGAAGACGTGACATTGTACCAGCATTTTACGGTCCTCGGGCGTAAAGTGGTGCCGAATTTGCACAGAGAGGCTTGAAATGCCATTCCTGGTCCTTGTAGAGATGTGCTGTTCTCAAGATATAAAATCGTCGATCGTCACATCACAGAGGGGGAAGCACAAGTTTATGACGAAATTTGTTGCGATGGGAGGATGTGGATTCCTTGCAACCCTGTGCTCTGCTGGTAAAAAGGTATGCAGCGGAATATTCTTAGTTGGGGTTGTTTTCAAATAATTTGATGGGAACTGAGGTTGAACAGTGAGAATGATCTCCTCCTATCGTTTTTTTTTTCAAGACGGGTAGGTCATAGGGGCCAGCGGAGTCTAGCTGTTTGGTTTCGCCAGCACCGGATACTAGTCTGTGGAAAAGTGGGTCGTTTGTAAAGACGCTGGAGAGGCTTGGGCCGACCAAGCATCCCCGGGGGACGCCGTGGGACAACAACAGGAATAAGGAGCCACTTCTCACTACCTGCCGCCGGTAAGCAATACCGCACCGTCTCAGCTGGGTTGGGAGGACACCGAGATCAACACTGTCGAGGGCACGGCTGAGGTCGATGTACCCAACAGCAGCGGCATCTCCACCGTCGATGCGACGCGTGATCCCTCGATGACGTCTATCGGGGTGTCCGCCACCGGATGACATTGCCGGCATGCGTACTGAGAATGATATAGGATGGGGTGAAAAGCGAGGACAGTTGTGTGCACACAAACTTTCCACATAATTCGATAAACGAGAAAGACGGAGATGGGTTTAACATTACTGAGCTCGTCGCGAGAGCCTCGTTGAGGCAGAGGAATGACAGCAGCTAGCTTACAAACGGTGGCGAGCACGCACGATATTATAGATACATTGTCGAGATTCATCAAAATACATCCTAGGACAGAAAACACTGACGAAGAACATATAGTGGCACACCGTCATGCCCATCCGTCCGGTAAAAGTGAAAGCCGGGTGGATTGTCGCAGCACATGAAATGATCTTCCTTGAACAGCTGGATTACACTTTTTATCTTTCATCGATTTATGGTCACGTTGTTTTTGGTCATACAACTACGCGACATTTGCACAAGAAGACGACTTACACAAGAATGCAACAATGGCGGTATGCGCCGGAATTTCAAATCCCCCAACACGAATGCGCGAATATGAATATCCGCACGCAGAGAAGCTGTACACACAGCGGATACAGCCCTGCATGCACGGTGGCTTCCATTTGCCACGCGCAGAATTTTCTCTCGCGCAATGAATTATTCTACAATTGTTTCGTGGTTTCAGACGTTGCCACAGCTGGAATGCCTCCCAAGCGAGAAGAGATGACCAGCTCCCAGCAGGGTCGCCAAGACTGTGCCGGCTGCGGCAAAGCCATCAGTGACAGGTGAGCACATCCTGATGTCACACGTCAGCCGCCGACGGCTGAGCTGTCACACGTCAGCCGCCGGCAGCTGGGCTGTCGCACGTCAGCCGCTGACAGGCGAGCTGTCACACGTCAGTCGCTCACAGCTAAGCTGTCACCGAAGCTGTCATACGTCAGTCGCTGGCAGCTGAGCTGTCATACGCCAGCCGCTGGCACTTGAGCTGGCACACGTCGGTCGCTGGCAGCTGTGCTGTCACACGTCAGCCGCTGAAGCTAAATACTCACACATCAGCCCGTGACAGGTGAGCTGTAACACTTCAGCCGCTGACAGGTGAGCTGTCACACGTCAGCCGGTGACGGGTGAGCTGTCACACGTCAGCCGCTGGCAGCTGATCTGTCACACGTCAGCCGGTGACAAGTGAGCTGTCACACGTCAGCAGGTGACAGCTGAGCTGTCACATTTCAGCCGCTGACAGTTGAGCTGTCACGAGCAGATGGGACGCTGTGACAGGACGCCGATCCAAATTTAAGCGGAGAGAGGGCAACAACAGCGCTTTTGGGTCGGTCAACAGCAACAGCAGCAGCAACAGCGTCAACAATATAATCGTCAACCCTGCACTAAAAGCGCAATGTTTTGTTGGTCAGTGATCGGCATATTTGCACCTGGTACCTGATGTGGCACGAGGACTGTCCCCGAGTGTTGCGCTGCGGCAGGTACATGCTGCGCGCGTTGGACCTGATGTGGCACGAGGACTGCCTGAAGTGCGGTTGCTGCGACTGCCGGCTGGGCGAGGTCGGCTCCTCCCTTTACACCAAGGCCAACCTCATTCTGTGCAAGAGGGACTACTTGAGGTAAGCCCTAACTACCACCCGAATTATCAACTTAAAATTAAAGGCTTCTAACACAAGTCTCTGCTAATGCGACGAAGGGTTTCGTGGTCCAACGTCCCTGCATCACGGGTAAAATAGTGGTATTTATATACATATATATATATATATATATATATATATATATATATAACCGTAAAAATTGACCTCAACGGCAGAAGCTGCTATCATTTATAAAATTTGTAGACGTTTTGATACTTTGCGTATCATCATTACGACAAGGGTAAAAGATACAATGAAAGATAAGTACATTTAGCCGGCGTAGCCAGACATGGCAGAGGCCACAATTAACGCGCTTAAACACGTCTCTGCGTGCAAACAGAACAGCTTGGAGAATACAAAAATCACGCCACAAGAGATGTCTTCGGCCCCGTACGAAAAAGTCTACCTTATGATCTACAGTGGATATGCAGACCCCATGATTTTCAATGGAGCCTTTTTTGGTGAATATGAAATCATTCTAAAATCCTACGATCAAAAACATTGTTGCAGCGCTCCAGCAAGGCAAAATTTGTTTAAGTGTGTGTCGCATGCAAATGAATGGTCTGCGATGGGCGAAGAGTCTGGGTGAGGAAAAATACTACCGGTGCGGTCAGACCTTCCCAAATGTTGCTGTACCCTGCAGTGCAAACTACGAAGAGTTAGACCCACGTAAGATGGTTTACACAAAGTTCAACAATATTTGCAAATGGCTACAGAGACAGAACAACTGGGAAGCTTGTCTTTTGACTCGAATAAAGATCCAACGGTAAAATAATTTACCATGTTGTTTCTTGGGGACAGAAGGATAAAATCCCGTATGTGTGGATGCAAACTCATTTTTCACTTATACCGACCGCTTCCAAAATAGAGAAATACCAGGTATTTATTTAGTCCTAGGATTTGACAAACAGCGGTTTTCTATATATTTTGCATCCAAGAAGCTCTTTATTAAACTATTAGTGATACAAATTTAAAGGCCGTTTCCCTGTAAGAATAATCTGCGCCAATCATGTTTGGAGCAAGAGGCTACACTTGGAGCTTAACAGAAGCTCTTTAATTATATTGTTTCACACTGCATAACTTAAAAGCATTGGGAATGAATGAGAAAGGGCTCAGTCTAAGACATGTGAGCGTGGTGATTCCATAGACAAAAGTTTCAAATTTGCCTTGTAACTTTTGAACTTGCACATCGAGGAAATGCAAAGAGCCTATTTCATCCTCCTCCTCCTCCTCCTCCTCCTTAAACTTTGTGTTAGAATGTTGGACGCTAAGATAAAATAAGTGAGAAATTCATCAATACGCGTCATGCGTCGAAAAAACAGAAACGAGTCTTCAACATATCACCGTTAAAATACTGGTCAAAAGTCGGGGTGCCAGTTGGATAGCCAACACCTTTCGTAAAAGCACATAAAGGTATTGGCAAAACTGAATCCAATTTGAAGACCTCTCCAAACGTCCCCTTTCTGTTTGCATAGTTTTTTCTTCTTGCAAATAAATAATAAATTCATGACGGTATGTTATAGGGGAGCGAAAGCAAGCTGCAATAAAGCAATGGATGCAAAACATGGCTCAAACAAGCTGTCCACGCAAACGTTTTTCGTTTCTTTTATTGAAATATTTGAAATAGGCCCCAACATCAAAGCTAGAACCATGCCCTTCGAAAACCCAAGTTGTAAAATGTTGTGCAACTTGAATATTAGTCAGGAGTGCTCATTTTTATATCAAGAGAATATTTGCAAGTTTGAATAAATTGGAGCAAGTATCAGATATGATGCAACAGGCTCATTTAGAACCACTGATGCACCTTTTGGGCAGAAGAGTCTGCTCTAGACAGCACAGTTCTGTGTTTAGTACATATGCCCCCCCAATTCGACATTGTTTGATTACGTCATCGTTCCTTGCACAGGAATGGTTGAGGGCCAATTGATGGCCATGATTTCTGGAGATCGCCTTCGCGAATGTCATACATGAGTGCCTCGACAATTACATTTTCTTAGCCTCGATCGCCGCGTAGCTTGTGGAATGGCAAGATTTGGATGCCGTTATTATGACGCCATGAATACCAAGGTGACTTTGAAATGCTCTTTCCGATATACTTTTCACAATTTGTGTAGGCGTGTGGCTCAAAACCTTAGAGGAGCGTGGAACCCAAGAAGGGGAGGATTGTGAACAGTCCCGGGAGGTCTTCAGGATGGCTATTTCAATTCTAAACCCCATATAAATGTGAAGCACTCCCTCTAAAGGTGTTAGCAATGATGCAAGCTATTTGGATAGCGTAAAGGAGGGCGTGGCACTACCCGAAAAACGGCTTTAAATGAACAGAGGATTGATGTGCTTTTGGAAGGTTATACAGAACCTCAGAATGGTTCCCGAATGCATGACAATCTTTGTACAGTTCGTCAGTAATCATTCCCAAGCCCATATCGTACTTAAACATAGCTTAATTCTATCCTCTACCTGCCTAAAATATTTTAATATTTTTCTCCAACATCTACAAACTTTGAGCAGCCACTCACAATGAAAATCAGTTTTTCAATGCATGGCTGTTTATGATAACTATTCCCGCTGCCCTTGTCAGACATGAAAACAAAGATTTTTTGTCAGAGATCAATGGTTTTAACAGACTAATATTTGCTCCTGAAAAAATATGAAACAAGTTACAAAATTGTCGAAAGAGAAGCACACCGACCTGTTTCTTAAAATTCTTAAACTGAAACGGTCTGACAACGAAAAATCGCCAAGGGCACGAACTAGTTTTTTAAAATACAGCAAGTATTTAGAGCAATCGAACATTCATACCGGGAGCCTGAAGTCCAAACCGGAAACTAGACCCTTCGTAGAATCGGGTACGCACCAGAAGAAATTTAAAGATCGCATTATCATAAACGGCTACGACCTTTTTTCTGTCGCCGCTGGGTTCTGGTGTGAGATGTTTGGCAGAATGCCCTTGAATTTTGTAATTTTGTGACACTGATATTGTAAATAATCGGTATTCTGATTGGATACGCACATCAGCAATCAACAGGTAAATCGGAAGCACTCTGGCTGGTTACAAGAACCAGCTACGTGGTGGGGTCATCAGTTGGCGGTACTTCTAACTGATGAGCTGGATTACTAACCTGGCTTGCATATCGATATATTTTAGCGTATGTCTGGAACACAAACCAGACATTCTGAATCCTGTATTCATCAGTTTGATCCTAATTTGCAACGTACAATATAGGTCTGGTGCGCAGGAAAATTAGTCGTCGGGTCATATGAAACAACGTGAAATAGCAAAGATAGCAATGTTCTGCATTTCAAGGTCCTAACTGAGGAACAACTGACAAGTCAAAGGCATCGGTGTCATTTTATTATCTTGCGATACTTTTAAGAGCTTTGGTAAAAACTGCGTCTGCATTCTATCAGGTCGTCCTTTAACACGCACTCGGTGGTTCAACCACGAAGGTTTCCAGAATGATTTTCGAACGGCGCGGCGTAGCTGTGCCAGATTTTCAACTGCTGTCGGAAATAAACAACGGATCTTTAGATAGAAAAAATTACGTGTCTTGTAAGGTCGCTGACTTATGGGAGGTCAAATTCGGACCGTGGCTTTCAGCGAAGGCCATTTCTAGGAAATCGCTTAATCCGACGCGACAATGGAGTGTTAGGCGAAGCCTATCGTGTCCATCTAGCCTATCTATCTATCTATCTAATCCTATCTATCTAATCCTAGCCTATCTATCTAAGCCTATCTTTGAGATTGTTTCATTAGCAACAAAACAAATAAACTTTAATTTACAGCAAATTCAACTGACCTAGGGTCAGACATGAAAGTCAGGCCAAGGTCAAAACTAAACTGCTCTTTACTCGATATCTTGTTGCATGGGATAGTTTCTGGTGCTCATTTTAAATTGAATTTTGACGGAGAACGCTGCAGACATGTGGCATGGACTTCTTGAATGTCAAAGTAGGTCACTGATCTAAAACCACCCAGTCCAACAGCTGGTTTTAGGAAACTTCTGAACTGTGTGATACCGCCCGTCGCGCTGGCACATTTTCGAATAGGAAAATAGAAGAAATATCATAGGTTTTTGGTGATTTGACCTTCTCATGGTCAAAAAGACTCTTGGTTAAAAGGTAGCATCATGGAAGACATCTCGTAGGTATTTGCTGCACTTGATCTCCGAAAGGTTAAGAAGCTCGTTGACTTTATGTGAAAACCAATGATACTTTATCATTAGCAGACATCTGGGTTCAAGGCGGTTGCATGAGGAGTTCTGGGGTACTGTGGGCACCAATATTGAGTTCGACCCTGTTTGACTTTATTTGACCCAAAGTCATAACTAAGGAACTTAATATTTTGACACAGGCAATTCACACAGAAGCCAATCGACCTCGTCAATTTCAGGTCTCTTGCTCTCTTAGTGCTGGAGGTCTCAGAGGGGAAAACTAACCTGCACCCGAGCGAAGAGTATTCAGCCAGCAATCCTGGCGCGTAGTAGACATTATTCAAATTCAAAAGCTCTGGCAGATGCTGTGGGTATGGGCTTACACTTAAGTTGTATAATGTCCTGCTGATGTTTATACTGTCTTGCAATGAAATAGTGTCTTGCTTCCTGCTCATGCAATGCCATCAGAGAGCTAAAAGATGCTGCTATTCCAAAAAAGGGAACTAGAGACATTTGCCCCCTCCACCCGCTGTCCCTGGAAATGAACGGTGGTACCAGACAAGTGCCTGATATCCTGCAGTACCGTTTCGAACAAAATGCGTGTTTCACATCATTGTATGACCCCCAATGTGTTTTCTTTCTTGATTTCCGACAGAAAAATAGATAAACGAAATCGAATTGTTGTCCCTGTAGCTAGATGCCTGAATTCTAACGCAGCGTCTGGATATCGCAAGCCTTCCGCCTTCCAGGCAAGCACAACAAGGATAGAGGCATACCGTTTCAGCACGTTGGCTACTGAAGAGGGGTGCGCCACGTTTGAATTCTGATATT